GGACAGACATCTCACCTTCTATAACCTCTCCTACTGACCAGAATGTTGTGGACGATAGAGATAAAGACCCTAATAGTCAGTGCCCTATTCGCAAGAAACCTCATCCTCCTAATGTCGTGAGCTTAGGGCAAAGACTTTACAAGAGCACGGGGAGATTCTCCAGAAACTTGGAGTATGCTATAGGTGCTGTGCTTCCTATAATCATTTTGCTATAGACTGTAAAGTTGTCATCAAGTGTACAGAATGCACTAATGACAAACCTGTTTACAGCTACGCATCCTGGTCCACCTCCAGACAATCCACAGCAGCTACCTACATCCAGCCCTGTTTCAAATCATGGCGGGGAGCAACAAAGTCATGGCTCCAGCCACAAAGTGTTTCTTCATGTACTGTAGTCTGCGGGGAGATCCATGGGCAGCCATCTGCAACAGTTACATCAAAATGTAGTGAACTACTTCACAAAGCACTTTGGGGAAAGACTCTTGCAAAAATGTCTTGTCAAGTGTTTTGCCAAGGACAACCTGAAAAGGCAGTCAAGATGTATCTTTTTTTTCATGACCAAAGCAGTCATTCACTTACCACATCAGAATTCTTTGACTTATTCAGCATAAAGGGTAACGTGCTATCCTATACATTGCACATCTGTGCTGGTTCAGTGCAACTCACAGGAAGAACAACCTATGCTGAATTCATCATTTCTCCTATAAAAGGAAGGAGAATTGATCTTCCTCTGATCGAGTGTAATCAGTTGCCCAACGATAAGGAGAAAATTCCTACACCAGAGAATGCACTTTGTGGACCTCACCTAAAACATTTAGCTGACTGCATCCCAACACTTGACAATGAAGCCAAAATGATGCATCTTAAAGGCAGAGACATCCTGAGAGTACACAAGGTACATCAACAACCCAATGAGTGGAATGATGCTGCTTATGCCGAAAAGAATGATCTATGTTGGGTACTTTGGAATCGAACGAGAATACAAGCCTCAGATGGTGTATGCTCCAATAAAATCATGCACCAGATTTCCTTCAACAGCTCAAATGAGCAGAAATATACTGATGCAAACACCCAGGCTAATGCACCTGATTCATTGACGTGACATTAAACCCTCAGATTTTTTAACATAAAACAATACTGTAATGTGTGCCTTACTGTAATCCATGGTTGTTTCCCTTCTCTTTGCTGCTCTTCCTTTTTAAATTTGTATCTGTTCTCATGCTGGGCAGAACTTCTGTTTTGCAGCAGACTGCCTTGTCTCAGGAATGGATACACGGTGTCTGTGTATAGGTTTGTATAGGCTTGTAACCTGAGGCAGCCCTACAGGAAGAGGCCCTGAGCTGAAAAGGGAAGTTCTCCCCAAGCATGAGAAGACATGAGGCTTTAGAAGGAAGAGCAGCAAAGAGAAGGGAAACAACCATGGATTACAGTAAGGCACCCATTACAGTATTGGTTTATGTTAAAAAATCTGAGGGTTTAATGTCACTCTAAGCATCACACCAGTAACTCCATAAGGCGTAAACAGCTTGGGGAAACCCATCAGAGTCTTCTACGCCAGTCATCATGCAAGATGATTCTCCTCTTCATGAAGAAGCAATAGACCTGCTCCAAGGAACCCAAGGTATGCTTTCTGAAACCAACCTTGGACTCCATAAGACTATCTCAAACAATGCTGTTATGAAAGCCTTTCAACCTAGAGATCATACCACAGTATTTAAAGACTTAAATCTGGGAATGGACATGCCACCTGTACAGATAAATCTGGGCTTATGGTGGAACCTATTCGGACACCTTTGGCTTTCAAGTCAGCTCTGCAGACAAGCCACATGCTAAATGTGGTATTCTCTCAGTAGTTCCCATCACCATACAAGGTAAATCCTTACTAAGACAGCTATCCGAGACTATTAAAGATTGGGATGCTCCACTACCAACCGACAAACTTTCAAAATGGGAGTCCTGGAAGCAATCTCCATATCCTTTAGATGAAATTCACGTACCACGCTGCTACACTTCAGCTTCTCTTGCTGCAAGTCAAAGAAGAGATTCACATCTTTTCAGATGCATCTACTGAGGCCATAGCAGGTAAGAGACTCTTCTACTCAAACCCATGTAGGGTTTCTATTTGGCAAAACTAAGTTCCCACCTAAGCCTGAACACACAATTCCTAGGCTTGAACTTTCTGGGACTGTGCTAGCTGTAGAAATTGCCGATTTTCATACTGCATGAGCTAGACATTAAGAAAGATGACATCAAGTTCTACACAGACAGCAAAGTTGTCCTGGGCTACATATACACTCAGACGGAATTGTTTGTCAGCAACCATGTAGGAAGAATCAGGAAATCCTCACAGCCTGAACAATGGCATTATGTTCCATGTGAAATTAATCCTGCAGATCATGCCACCAGGCCAGTGTCTGCAAGTGTCTTTGCAAATTCATCTTGGTTAACAGGTCCTGAATTCCTGCTGGGTTATCCAGAAGAAACCACAGCTGATGTCTTCTAGATCCTGACAAAGACCCAGTGATTCGTTTTGAAGTCAAAACCCTTGTCACCAGATCTGAACAAAGACTCGTCTTGGGCTGTCAACGCTTTGAACGTTTTTTCAAGTGGACAAGGTTTGTACGCACTACTTCAAGGTTAGTCCATATTCCACACTGCTATCACACTAAGCCCAAAGGTGCTCACTGTCAAGGTTAGCAAATACTCACTCTAAAAACCTCTTTCTGCAAAATACATTGCTAAAAGTGAACTAGTGAATAATACGCAGTGTACAACAGAATGTCTTTAGCTCCAGAAATTAAATGTGTCCGTGACAAGCAGGACATACCTAAAAAACAATTCAACTGCCAATCTGAATTCATTCATCAACAGCGATGTGTTTACAGATTCAGAGTTCACAGCCATTCTTACTCCCAACTACTCTTCTCACCCAGAAGATTGGAACTGTTCCTGTTTCACCTGGAAACACTACAGTTGGAATTACATGAGTGCCCATAGTCTTCAGGTACTAACATTGTATAATTTACACCAAGAGTGGACTTTTTCATAGTGCCTTTAACCTTAAATCTTATTTTCACAGAAGTTTACAAATTGCCTCTTATGGAAAGTGACCTACTGCACTTGAAAGACTTTTGCAGTTATCAAGTCTGCTGATAGTCATCACAGACTTTATTTGATATTTTGGGCTCTCTTTCTTGTTTTCAGGTCCAAAGGACAAGTTACAAGTTCTCATTTATGGACTCTGTTTTTTGTCTTCCAGGTCTTCAAGACATTAACTGCAAATCGCACTATTGTTTATTTGCACTTGCATAACTACCGTTATGATTTAACATAGTGGCATTTACAATGCCAGATGGGGAGTGTGCTGTTACAGTTATAAAAATATGACACAAGGCATAGTCAAAGTTAATAATCATATTAATGTGAAGTGAGAATTTAGTTTGTTATTTTCCTTAAAGGCGAACTATGAGGTGAATAATTTTCACTCAGCCTCATAGTTCTAGCCTGACGTGTGACAATGAAACTGTCACACGTTTGCTCAATAGATCGGGAAGTGAGCAAACAAATACCGTTGCTCGCTCACTTCTCTATCCTGTCCCTGCAGAGAGCCGTGACTGTCACGGCTCTCTGCGGGGATTACCCCCTCCCCTGTCCGATCCTCCAGCACTGACTGAAGGAACGAAAGGGGAGGGGGTGGGTACAGCTGGCTCTGCCTCTAGATAGGCAGAGCCAGCTGTCAATCACGCAGCTCGGTGGATCTCGACAGTAATGTCGGGATCCGTCCCGGCTGCGGCAGTCTCAGTATACCGCGAGCTGTAGCTCGCAGTATACTGAGCTTTGGGTCACGGGAGGATGCTAGTTTATGTCCTCCTGTGACCCTGAGGAGAACTATGGAGAAAAACACTTACCCCATAGTTCTCCTTTAAGCCATTATTTTTGGTGGTAGCATAGCTGGTTAGTATACTGACATCTTTTGGTTATTGCACCATATTTTTCTGCATTCCCTCCCCTTGTGTGTAATTTACCACCCTTCTTCAAGTAGTCTTCTGGCATCAAAATGGCTGACTGTAACATGGCCACATATTAATTTGGTTGCATGCTTGGAAACATTACCATCTCTGACCTTCAACAGACGGTAGTCTGTTCATTCATCTGATGTATCCTGTTGTCTTCTGTAACCCTGCTGCATTCAAATAAAGCACTTTGTGGATTAAAAGGATTTTGGTGAGTTCTGTTATCTGATAAGGATTGTCTGCAGTGATTTATAAATGCTTATACAAGCCAGGCATAGAGATCTCAGCAAGGGATAAATCGCTAATACAACAATCTGAGTCAGAATATACTCTGACCTAGTTCATCTGGTCACAGACACGTTTGTGGCCTTTTCCTGCCCATCCAGATCTCATGTTACAAGGAATAATTCTTCATTCAGTGTATAAGCCTCTAGCTTTACCAGCATGGTTTTGAAAGCCCAAATTTTGAGTTAGATCTCTACCAGGCAGTCATATCTACTATGCTAAGGGCTTGTAAATCCTCTTCTTGCCAGGAGAACCACCACTCCTGGAAATCCTTTTTCAAATGGTGAAGCACTGTGTTTTATCCATAGGACTTTTAGTAATTCAGATCCTGAGTTTTCTCCAGTCAGGCATGAAACTAATTCAGTACATGCAGGTATATCGCCACTAGATGGAACTGTGCCTTCTGTTTTGCCTATTGCTCAGCTTTGGAGCCGCAGAAGCTATACCCAGCACTGGGACACTGCCTCCAATGAACTACTGGAAAAACATGACATGGATTACAAAAACATTATTTCTGGTACCTGGGGTGTATGACATTTAACTTAGCTTGGTATAACTGAATTCTGATGGTAATACGATTCTACTGATAACCTTAAGAATAAGAAGAAGCTAAGGGAAAAAAGACAAACACTTGGTCTGTGCTGCTTAGGGTGACGTTTTTAAACATTTCATATAATTCTAAATAAATTTTCTCTTCCAAAGGAAATGGAGCAGTCAATGAACATGCTGAACTCCAACCCAGAGCTGCCTGATGTGTCTGAATTCATGACAAGACTTTTTACTTCAAAATCATCCAGCAAGTCCAACATTGGGGGAAAAGTGGGCAAAAGTGGCATTAGCAAGAGGAGGTAGTGATTTAAACCTCTGCTGGATCAATCCTCAATCCAATCAGTTATATAGACCTGTGAGAGTTTACACCATGTCTAGTCATTTTCTTTATGAACACTTTTTCATTTGATTAGTAAGGAGGTAAAGCTATTTCCAATGTGGTTCTAAAAAAAAATCACTTTTTCACATCGAAGGTGTAAGAGAAGAGTCTAATCTTAGTTTATATATGAGGTGGTGACATCAATATTTTACTGCAAAACAAGATTATAAATACTAGCACCATTCCTTAGAGAGGAGGTATAAATTAATTCGTCGTCGCAAGCCTTCCATTTTTCTAGGTGAGAAGCTGCACTGCCTCTCACTAGCGCAACACTGTCAGTTCTCACACCAAGCAGCCATTCAAAATATGCTGCCCGGTGCCGAGTGACAACTTGACATAGGGTGGGATGGGGCTATGGCCGTGAGAGAGCTCCATATATACATGCATTGCTTACAGCTCCCTCATGTGTCCTATAGAGGTGTCATGGTGACATCACATTCTGCCTCCTGGCACCTCTACAGGGCGCGCAAGGGAGCTGTACAAGCAATGCACATATGAATGGAGCTCTGTCACAGCACAACAGTCCACACTGGACCCCAGGCTGAGGATCCACTCCAGTTCTCATAAGGTAGAGAGAATGGGTGACCTAAAATAAAATTTAAATAAAAAATGTTTTTGGTGTGAGTGTGTGAGATTGTGTCTGTGGTTGTGTGTGTCTGTCAGTGTTTTTGAGGGCCCGTTCACACTAGTACAGTGCGTTAATCAAATATTACCATTCTATTGCACTGCTACTTGATGACCAAGGTTGAGAACCACTGCCATAGATCATATTTGATTTTTTTTTCAATACAGTAGTCTAGCGTTATAAACTGCATACTCTTTATGAATCTTGGGTCTTTTTTTCATATCCTGTAATGTTTGACTTGTTTGTTAATGTCTACAGTTATCTTAAAGGAGAAAGACTGATTTCTCACAATGCCTTTTGAGGTGGGTTTCCCTTGCTCATAATCAATCAGAAGAATGGGAGTATAAATTCACCCTTTTGATATACTAATTTTTAGACTATTATTTAGTATATGCATACTAATTGTATGTTTTTAAAATTAAGTGGATTTTAAATGTTTGTCGGACCCATTATTTAAAGAGGACCTGTACTTTTCCCCAAATGGCAAGCAGAGGGTAAAGTACTAGTTGCCAAGTATTGCCTGTAGACTCTTTGCATCTGAACCACCCCACTTGTTATGCCTTGTTCTGACCTGTGCCTCTGTGGTGATCGCCATCTTGGTAGTAAAGCTGCAGGTGCAGTGCAGAAAGCACAGATCCACAGAATGAATGAAGCCAGTAGTTATGTATAATATGTAGCACAGTCATGACATCACTATATCTCTCCAAATCTTGTGAGACTAGCAGTCAATGGTAGCAGTGCCTTTGAGGGTCTAATACTGCAGATATAACGCTATGGGCACAGTAATGGGACCAGGGACCCAACAAGACAGTGTAACCATATAGGTTATGGTGAGACGGGACTAATAGAATCAAATGGCCCTCCAACTGAATCAGTATGTAGTACAGTATAGCCTTCTTAAAACACAGTATTTTCTGGATGGTTATACTGTCTTGTAAATACTGATTTAAATACTTTAATTAAATAATTTTTTTTAATCACAAAGTTGGAACAAGCGTGTAGCAGTTCCGATTATAGTTTGAGAATTTTCCATTGAGAGACACAGCACTTGTATAGTCCATACTGAGGGTTTTGCTACCACCAACAGGAGAATTAGACACTAGGCAAAAAAAGCAAGGGCCCATTCCCAGTAGGATATAACCCCTTCCTTACTTAGCTTGACCCCCTTAGGGAGTTAGAACGTCTTTCCCCACTCTGCTGATTCAAGACATTTGTATGAGGATTTCTTTCTTTCCAAAGAAAATGTTCGTTAACCCGTTCAGTGGGGCTACCCATGCACTGCAAGGGTTAACTGCTCGTTTGTGTCTAGGTGCAGTGTAGGAGGAGACACGCTTCAGTGACCAGAGAATCATGGAGGTGGCTTGACAATTCAGGCGAGTATAACTTTTTTATTTTTTTTTAGCACCTAGATCAGTGGTAGGCAACCTTGGCTCTCCAGCTGTGCTGAAACTACAGATCCCACCATGCTTCTGCATCTGGGAGTCATGCCTGTGGCTTGCAATGCCTTATGGGATGTGTAGTTTTAGCAGGAGAGCCGAGGTTGCCTACCCCTGACCTAGACAAGAACGAGCAGTTACCCTTGCAGTACAGGGGTAGCTCCACTGCAAGGGTTACTAAGAATTTTCCCTGGAGTTCTTTAACAGCTAATGATAAATTCAGGCCAAATGCTAGGAGTCTCTCCAGTAAGTGACCAAGCGCAGGTTTTACAAATTGCCTGAAACCTTGGTGATCTTAATGTTACAAAAACAAAAGAGGTGTGCTCTCCAGTAAGGCCCCGTGCAGACCTACGTGATTCGGGGATCGAGCATCTCGGGATCACGCGGGCCTGCACTATGCAGGCGGCGATTGCTGCGCATTGATTTCAATGGCGTGACATCCGCGCGGCAATCGCAGAAAAAAGTACATGTATCTTTTTTCTGCAATACACGATGTGCGGCTGTTCTAGCCACGATCGTGTTCGGAAGCACGGGCGGAATCGCGGCGGGAAAGCGCGCCCAACGAGACTGGGGCGCCATTAGAATATAATGGCACCCACAGCGCGATTTGGTGCACACCTAGGCGACTCCTGACCATGCTGCATCGCCTAGGTGTGCACCAGCCCTTAAAGGAGAACTATGAGATGAGTGATTTCCACTCGCCTCATAGTTCTAGCCGACCTGTGACAATGAGACTGTCACAGGTCGGCTCAGTAGATCGGGAGGTGAGCGAACACATACCGGGTTCGCTCACCT